TATATATATATATATATATATATCCATACATCCACATTACTTGGTTCTCCAACAATTCATCCTTGACCAAACGATGCTTGCTTCCTTCAAGTTGATCGACCAATCAACCGACCAATCAACCGACCAATCAACCGACCAATCAAGTGACCAATCAAGCGACCAATCAACAAAGCAAATGCTACCAGCGTGCAATCAAGCGAGCAGTCAACCGACGAGCAAGCAAGCGAAGAGCAATCAAGCCAGCAAACAAGCCAGCAATCAAGCCAGCAATCAAGCCAGCAATCAAGCCAGCAATCAAGCGAAGAGAATCAAGCAAAGAGCATCAAGCAAAGAGCAATCAAGCGAGTAATCAAGCGACCAATCAAGCGAGTGATCAATGCCTTCAATTAAGCGATCAATCAAACAATTGCTTCCCCCGAACATTAGGCACCCTGATAATGAATGTACACAAGCGATCTTTCCGCTCCGATACAGTGTTGATGAGGGTGCGCAGTGTTCGGGGGAAAACGGGAGTTTAATTGATCGTTTCACAAACGTTGATGATGGGTTATAGATCAATCAAACAACCGTCTGCCGCATTCGCCCCGAATAGAACGCACGGTGAGTATCGCTGCATCTTCAGACTGAGGGAATGCTCACAACAGGACTTTTCCTGGATGTATCTGATCGCAATTGCAGCCGGGCCTGGACGCACCTGACCGCAATTACGTCCAGATCTCAGTCGAAAAAGTCCTAACAGTACAGCTATTATCACCGTGCGTTCTATTCGGGAGAAGACGGTGATCCGATTCATCCCATCGAAAAAGTTGATCGTGATGAATCGATAAGAGGATGAGAGCAGTTCTGTTCCCTTTTTTTCGTTTTACAGAATATAAGAGCAGTTCAAGTCTGAGTCCAACCGAAATTTATTCAGTCTTTACATTACTCCTGGCCACATCCATGAATCCATCTAATTGAATCAATCAATTAATCAATTAATCAATCGCGCCCATTCACCACGACGAGCTCTCTCTCTCTCTCTCTCTCTCTCTCTCTCTCTCTCTCTCTCTCTCTCTCTCTCTCTCTCTCTCACACACACACACACACACACACACA